TATAGAAGTGATTATAGGAAGGGCAAATAAATAAATCTTAAATAAATGATTGCAGATTACATAGGTATGTCATAATAAGCCCTCAGTTAGGAATGCACTATTTTTCTTGATACAGTATGTCGCATTTGTCTGGTATCCATAGGCATCTTGTGTGTGTCTTCCAAATTGATAAAACCACAATGCTAAAAAAACTGACATGCATTTGAAAAATTTACATGTACGCTTATGTAATAATTTGCACACTAACATGGAAAAACATTGTCTCTACTGTATGTGAAATATACTAGTGCCTATAACCAAATTGTCTAAAAAACTTAAACTGAATACTTTTCATATTTACAAATAATGTTGATATCGGAGTTTATATTTTACAAGAAGTGTACCAAAAATTTCTAAATAATGTAGCTGTCACGATTATAGTCCCTCCCCCTTAATGGCGCTCCGGCTCTTTTGCTTTTGAGTTGATTTCATGCACCTGCCCCCGGTTCCTGCCTCCCTATAAGAGCCAGACACGCACTCTATTCCGGGCTCTGCATTGGTTCCCGTACCAAGCGAGTCCGGGATCTGAGCGTCTGGTCCCATTCCTCCTTTTTCCTCCCGACCCTCCACCGGATCCCGCTCCGGTTTTTAATCCTGTTTGTCCTCGTCCTGGATGGACCGCCCGGCTTTAGACATTTTGCCTTCCTCTTGGATTTCCCATTGGACTCTGATTTGGATTGTTTTCCCCGGACTCATCCCCCAGAACATCTGTGCACCATTGACACGCCCCGTTTTCATTCCCAACTCCCACGTGCTTTTTCCCCCGTGTTTTCCTCACTCTACCCCGGATTGTGTCGTCTGCACAGGGTCTGGAAAGAATGCTTTCATGACAGTAGCCCCAAAAGATTTGGAAGTATTTCTGCTTATATATGAATTCTGCATTAACAATAACACTTGAAAACATGACACAGATGACCTAAAGTCTATTATAGAGCTATTCATCTGTAAATGAAATGTCTGTTTTTCTGTTTTGTGTTTTAGAGACAAAATATTGTTCTTTCAACTAAAAAAACAAGCTTTGAAATACATTTCATTCTCAGATTGATTTTCATCTGTGGCCTGGGTGTTGAGCATATTTCTGTATTTCCATGTACTGTACATGATAAAACACTGGGCGGCATGATGGTGCAGTGGTTACCATTGCTTCCTTACACTGCTGGGACCCTGGATTCAATTATGGACCTGAGGTGGTATGAAGTGATACTGTACATTTTACCTGTGTTCAAATGGGTTTTCCCCAGGAGCTCCAGTTTCCTCCCACGGTACAAAGACATACTGGCAAGTTAACTGACTCCTGCAAAAACTGGACATGATGTGAGTGTGTGCATCTCTGTTTGTTTCTGTGTGTACCCTGTGATGAAACGGTGTCCCATTGAGGGTATATCCTGCCTTGTTTTGAACAAAGGAAGAATGTACCACTCCACATATATATCACCCCAGGGGATAGATGCTAAAACATTAGGCACAAGTCTGCTACTTAATTCATTCAACATTATTGTATTGCTTAGTTTTAACTCTCAGTTGGAAGTTCTGATATTTTATGTTTATAGTTTATTTTGGGAAGACAAAAAATAAACAATAGTTTTAATGTTACACAGTGTGCATATTGAGCAAAGTACTTGTAGAAAATACAAAGAATTCTGATTGTGATTGCTATCCCATTCCAATTTTTATAATACTAAAAGGCAAAGTCAGAATGTCTAACTTCTTTCCCTGCAAATAATATCTTTCCCTTAATTGGTTATAACAATAGAAAATAGAATAAAATAGAAAAGTGTAAAAATAGCATTCAAATTCTTACATCTAAAGCATATTTTGTAGTTATAGTTTGTTTTCTTTCTCATAACAACTGAAACCTCCCATTATAATGTTGTTATTCATGCCCAGCCCTTTAAGTTTCCAATACAATAGCTGTTTAACTTGTTTTGCTTGGCAGCAAGCCTCCTGCTGACTGAAGGAAGTACACAGAAAAAATATAACCTACAATTGTAGGTTCACTTAAGTGGAAAAGTCTGACAACATGCACTTACTGGACACTTAAATTAGAAGTGTATAACAAAAAAGAAAACGAAATTCCTTTACATATGCGGTATCGTAAGAATATCCTGCACACATATATGGTGAGATTGATGCATGTGAAAAGTTTTCACAATGATCTGCATTTGTATGAGGAGATAGGAACCATGTGGTCGGAACTTGTTACGAAATGTGAAAGTTCTTCCAAATTAAAATAAGGAAAATTCAGGACCATGGACAGCAAACTTTTATTTACGAAGAAAATAAAGAAATTAAGTTATAATTTTAGTAATTTATTCACGTGAAACTCTATTTATACTTCTATCTATTACAACAACCATCTAGATATTAGAAGTCTCTTTGCCTTATTCTAACTACAAATTTTAAACTAATGTACAACTGAATCATACATCTTTGTGCTTGAGTTCAATGGGCCAATACACTGGGTATTCTATGGGCATTAAGTGTTCTGGCAATCTAAAGCCACTGGTTTCTCTGCCACCTGAGATAAAGGCTAATTGCAATAGAATCAAGGTTCTGTTGCTAAGATTTGTTTTAGGCAAGATGGTAAAAACAGTCATTACAAGCAGGTTATTTATACTCAAGCAAAAAAAAAGTTGTTGTTGTGTCAAGACCTGCAGTTGTGCAGAATTATTGGAATTTTTTAAGAATAACTGGAAGATGTATAATTGAATAAGTATTCAACCCCTTTGCAATGACACTAACACTAACTAACAACACAGTTCAGTTCAGTGCAAAAGAATAGTTAGAAATATCGCGGGAATTGTGTAATGGGTTCTGACTTATTTCATTTAAGTGGTTTAACATAACCAGGATCAATTCAACTGTCACCATGTTCCTTTAGATGGATATTTTAATGTACAACTCACATATAGTGATACAACAAATCATCCATGAAGACCTTTGAGTAAAGTGAACTGTATGTGCATCATACCATTCATACACTACACAGATCAAGGAGTCCTTCTAAACTGAACTGGCAAGCTGGACACTGGTTAGAAGAGATACTGTGAAGCCAACAGTGACTTTGAAAGATCTGAAAAATTCTGAAATGGGCGTTTCTGTACATACAGAACTGTACATCAACAACATTATTGTCCTACTAATTGATTATTAGGACAACAGAAAGATGGCCTATATGGGTGAATAGCAAGATAAAACGTATTTGCAGAAAGAGACTCATTTTAAATCTTATGCGAGTTTTTCATACTGCCTGAAAAATCTCAAATGCCAAGCATAGTGGAGGAATCTTGAACAACAATAAAACGACAAGAAACATCAAGCACTCAGTGGAAGACATACTGTAGATAGCTTTAAAACATACCCAGTAGTGAATATCTTCTTTTGCTCAAAAAGATCTGTGCAATTGCAAAGAGAACTTGGAACAGGCTGCTTTCTACATTCAGCAATTTTCATCAGAAAGGCCAAAAGAAGTTAGAATAAAGAAAATTAAATCTTAATAGCATTTAAAATGACAATGATCGACACAAATAAGCAAGGTTAAACAGCAGTTGGTACTGGTGTGGTTAATCAGAAATACTAAATTCATAATATCTCACATGTGGTAGAATAGAGCTAATGAGACAAGAATTACACTGCCTATGCACAGCAAAGAGAAGAAGACACATAATGATGCATTAGTGTATTATTACCAGTATGATTCTGTGATGACAGGAAATATCATTGGTACTGCTTTCTGTTCTTATCCAGATACAGTATCTTATACAGTTATATTTTTATACAATAAATGGTCAAATTTGTCCTTGAGTGTAGTGTTACACTTATTTAATACTGTCTGCAACTTTTAAAACTGTATCATAACTGTATTTAGTATGCAATTATATAACAAATGTCCTCTTTATTAATGTCATCTTTAAATCTTTTAAAATACCTTCCATTTTTATTTATAAACAGCAATAATTGTTTACAAGAATAGGTATTAGTGTCCAGTTTTTACGATAACGCACATGTCAGTGCAAAAAAAAACACTTTAATTCTTAATTAACTTGTGTGTTAGTACATGATAGTGAGAAGATTGTCTTTAACGTAGGCCACATCGTGTATAGAAGGAGGCCTGCTGAAGGGCATGCTTAGAAAATAACACACTGATGTCCTTATTCCTAATGGATAAGAATATATATTTCCTAGATTTATAATGGGGTATTTAATTTAATTTGAATTTAACAAAAGTACATTATAAAGGACACAGCTTGAACTGTATATTTAAAACCAACCAGCTGTCCCGGAATGGAACATCCTTTGCCCCCTGCCAAGCAGCCTCACAGAGAATCATCCGATAATTATGGAGTACAATGCAAATAACAGTCTTCCCCTTCATTCATTACCTCTGCTGTGGTTTATTTTCTCTCTCAGTACTACAAGTAATGAGGGGAGAAATACAATAGGTAACAACGCCTTTCGATTCGCGAAGTGCAATTAGAGTACAGCACAAGCGTAACAATCTGCTGTTTGAGCAGCGTTCCCCAGGAGTGCAGAATAATGTTCTTGTTTCAAAAATGATTGGTGGTACAATCCGGATGCAACCAGTCAGTGTGTGACTAATTAATTCTATAAATCTACTACAGACAGCTCTTAATGATCAATTTTTTAAACATCTCATTATAAAACAGAACATTTAGGACATATGTACATTACCCAGAAACTGGACTGCTTTTTAAAACTGCCAAGATTTTCAGATGCATGATCACATTCAGATTACAATACGAGGAAAGTACGATTTCAAATATTGCAAGGTCACAGCTTTTTAATTTAGACTTTACGTTGCCACACAATGCAGTTTGTAACATGCCAATGGGCAGGCTTAAACAGTGACAACAACGCTGCAGAGTACTGGCATTTACTTAAATCGCACACATCAGTTATATGCATAAGCATGTGACGGAGGAAAATAAATGGCAAATTACCTTTATGAATGTAAGACCTGCTTTCCCTATCGTGGTCCTTGGCCGCTGACCTTGCGTGTGTGTTGAGAGAAGAGCCCGTATTAAATTTGTATAAAGTTTACGAAGGATCTGACGTAGCCTTGTGATATAGGAGGCAGTAGCGTGGTGGTTGTTGGATCACGAACAAGGAGACAAAGAGCTGCGAGCAAGACAGCTTGCATTATACTATTGCGTAGCGATGACAGCATTGGTACAGTATACTGTGTTCTACTTCTTGGCTAGACTCAAGTTTTTGCAGTCTCACGCGCGCCCAGACCTTATGCATGGGAACCAATAGTGCAAAAAAACTGTTCGAGGTTGTAACGTCATCATTGCTGTATCCGCTTTTTGTTTCGCTGCCTCCTTTTTTCATAATGACTTACTGTACATGGTTGCCTAAAATAACTGTTGTTCAAAAACTGTACAATACAACGTATGAAAAAACATTAAGCCACAGAAAGAAGTAACGTATACTGTATATGTACCAGAATAATGTATATAGTACCGCACACGAGTTTCGGTAGAATTTGAAGAATATAATTTGAAAATATGCAAAACAAGGGGAAAACATTTAGTGTGCATACGTATGCAGACATACATCATATTGCTGCAAGATACACGGGTTTGCGATCTATACATATTTAAAACAAGATATAAGTACAAATATTAGAGGGGAGGGACGATATACAGTATGCTGTATCTTGAACTATACAAAAGCAGCCATGAGTGCTTAAGCAAATTGATGTCAGTGTTACAAGCAGGAAGAACGGAGTCGAAGTACAGTAGGTCATCTGCTTTATGAAGAGGGATTTTCTTAATTCTCAAAGACGATTTTCCTAAAGATGCTTTCTGTTAAAAATAAATTTATCAAAAATGTATACCTTCACTGCTTAGTAAGAAGAAATGAGAAATAATTGACTTTGATAATTAAAACGTTTGTGCTCCGATAGTGTTGTACTGTATATGAAGTAAAGACAGAAGGTTTACTCACTGTCCATTTGTAATAAATTCTAATGCTAGAAAAATAGTTTTCTTGATATCTTTACATTAGTGTTACATAATTGAAATAAATTGGTTACTTTGCCGTTTTTTTTTTTCATTTTTATTTATTTGAAGATTAAGTTGGCCACCACTAACCTTTTCATACTGTGAAGAGATGTATCAAACATCTATTCAAATTTTAGCTTAAGCCATGTAAAATAAATATGTGCTGTTAAGTAAACATGCTTATATTAAAACAAATATAATACTTAGAGTATTATATTTATTTTTTAAATAATCCCGAATTGTAAAAACATGGAATCACATACTCCAAGTCACATTTCCTGGCCAAAATATTAGGAAATATTGCCCCTTGTGAAATTAATGGACAATTTCAGTGAACAATAATACGGTACATACTGTAGTTGACTTAAGGTGTATAAAATAGACTTCTACAGGTATGTCTGTTGAAACGATAGAGTAGTATTCTGTGATATGATCCTTAAATGGGCAAATAAAAACTTAATAAAAGTTGTATGATATAATTAGTTATAGTTCATTAAATATATGCTTTGCTAGTATATTTTTTTTTTACAAAACGAACCCAGCTTACAGTAACTCAAATACTAATTACACATTGAAAGTAATACTGTTGTAATCAAGCAAATAGTTTCAGTGGAATGTGTTTAGTGTCCCTTGTTTTAGTCACAATGGGAATTAAAGAAGAAATGAAGAATATTGTGGCACAAGTCAAAGATATGCATAAGAACATAAAAGGTTACAAAAAAGGTTTCAAAACAACTGCAGCAAAACACAATCAAAATAATAGTATAAAACACATTGAATATCTCTTTGAACATATTGAAGTCTATCATTTAGAAGTAGAAGGCATATCATGTGCCCAGAAACAGTTTAAACAGATCTCAGGGTGAGTGACACCTACTGGGCCCAGTGACATCACTTCCTGCAACAACCTTAGTTTTTCCCAAGAGCTCTCCATTTCAGGTATTGACCAGGCTCACAACTGCTTAACTGCTGGTTTAATTATGTTACAGTATATACAGCACCTGCCTCTGGCTGCATTATGCTATAGTTCTGACTCTTATCAGAAGGGACTCAAAATGTTGTCAAGTACTGATGGAAAAAGCAAAGTACAGGAAAATCGTAGAGGAAAACTGCCTGTTCTGCTACAACAGGGGTAAAAGTTCAGCAGGACAGTGATCCAAAGCACAAGGCAAAATCTACACTGAAGTGGCTTAAGAATTAAAAAGTGAATGTCCTTGAGTGGCCCAGACAATGTCCTGACTTGAGTCTTATTGAGAATCTGTACAGACATGAAAACCTGACATTAAGTGATCCCCAAGCAATGTGAGAGAGTTTGCACCAATCTACCAAGGAAAAAGGGCAAAATGTGCACTATCCCAGTGTAAAATGTTGGTAGAGATGTACTGTACTCAAAAGACTTTCAGCTGTAATTGCTACCAAAGGTGTTTCCATCAAGTATATAGGAGGAATGAATGCGAATATATTTTTATGCAATCAACATTTTTTTTTAATTTTTCTTATCTGTTGATGCTAGCATTTTAACTTCTGTCACCTATAAAATTGTTCAATTTGAGCATTCAGAAGAAAACATAAAAATAATAAAAAATGTCTTGAAAATGTGGTCCACAATTGTTAACTCAACAAAATGGGACAATGTTGAATGGTGAATACTTTTTCAAGGTGCTGTATTTAACACACATTATATATCACATGTATGTTTTACAGGAGTCACTCAGATGGTAAGTGAAAAATGTAAAGTTCAAATAAATAAAGTATTAAAATATACACATTTAGTATTATTTTTGTTACACATCTGCGAAACTACTGACTGAGCTTCAGACTAGGTTCCAGATTTTAACTTGGTATACTTCATATACTGTACAGTACAGCTTGCAGATAATGCATGGTGACACTGGCACCGTATATGCAGCCTGAACCTGTTCACTTTCTGCATGATGCCAATATATGACAAGATTTAAATTATTCTTTGCAATATAGGTGAGCAGCTTATGAGACTTTGTCAATGTAAGCTGAATTTGAATTAATCACATTCATCCTGAAGACATTATATATGCACTATTTTTTGTTTGTTAAACTTATTTTATGTGACATTCAATCATTGAAGATAATACGATTATTAATATTATATTAACATCAATAACATTAGATAAAAGATAATATATTTCACTCTTCCTAAAACTCTCAGTACTCATTTTTAGCCCCCACCCAGACTGCCAGTTTTCATTGTATGGTTATCTTGAAACACAGAAAAATAGCACATACTGTAGCAACCACAAAGTGATACACTTTCCTACATGATCAGGAATACAGAATAAAAATTGGGTTTATCAGACGCACTGGAAGAACATACTGTTTTCACTCTTTTTCTTTTACAACTCTCTCCTGTACACAAATAAGTCCTTTTATCTTGTAGCATTGGTGTCTGTAAATATTGTTCTTGCTCAGATTATTTCAGATCTGTTAATTGCAAGCCTTTTAATTTAGTGTGTGGGGCTAAACTGCTTACCAGTCAACCAAATTGAGAACCTATTGAACTCTTCTGCAACAACTCATGCCTCAATATTTGCTAAACAAGATGAACCTTGCTCAGCATGTTTTCACTGCAGACTAATGACTCTAAACATAGAATCCAACTCATTCACAGCTGACAGTAAATACCCGTGCCTTCAGTTTTGAGCTTCTTTTCTTGGAATACTCTAAAGTACAGCCAAAGGACTATCCTAATGTCACTATAAGAAAACCTTAATCACAGCATAAAGATCCCAGAAATAAACTGTTTTGGAAAGTTGTCAAAATAAAGAACATACAGTAACATTAAATTGGTCCTTTAACATTTAAAACAAGAGGGTCTCAACATCTGTGAGTTCAACATCAAATTCATTTATTCACCACTTGATCTGTCTGACTGGATCTTGCATGGAAAAAGAGCAGAGTGGGATGAAACCCTGCCAAAGGTTATTAAAGCTATTTTCAAATCAGCAGTGTATAAGATCGTGAGACAAATCACAGACTAGCTAGTGAGAGAACCCTCCCAGTTCTGTCAGCAGCGGGGGGAATGATAGGCTTGAGAGGACTACAGGCTCTCTGACAGTTTTATTACCCTTTTTGTTGCAGTTGGGCATGCTAATCATAGAGAATTTTTACTATTTCTCTGTATAGTAATTACAGTAATAGCCAACATACAGTAATTATAATTACTATAAATTTGTGATTACTGATGGTTTAGTTAAACAATTTTAATTAATTTAAATCCAATGCATTACTACTTTAATTACCATATAAGGAAGGGTTACTTATGTCATTTAACTATACATATTATACAGTATATGGTTGTACATTATGCAACTGTATAGCGGTGGACTTTGTTATAAAAGTGAATTTGGATATTTGCAACGTTTCTTTGCTCCAAACTCTTATAAATCTCAAGACCCTATTGTAGACAATACTTTTAACAGCGATAATGTTGTAACAGAAAGAATAAGGTTCTGGATCCCGAGATGAAGTTAAAAAGATGAGTTTATTGCATGCAAGGAACAATAAAGCTGAAGTCTTGTTTCCCGCAAGAAACAACAAAACCGAAGTATTGTTCAAAGTGCCGGTACAAACTTTAGGTTTATATAGTCCTTCCTTGCTGCTCTGATTCGTCATTCATTATTATGGTAAAGGGGGGAGGTCACGTGTTTGACCAGTTTACAGCTTTTTGGCCAAATGGTCAGGGATTAGTCCCCAGGGGGTTCCCTAGCTCTCCTAGCTTGCATCTGGCATCCTTATCAGTTAACCCCCTAACTGCCATAAACTCCAGCCTTAGTAGTCTAATCTTCATGCAGAATGGACTTCAAATTAACCCCGTCTTCACATCTTATTTCATTCTCCCCTTATTAAATAGGGCATACGTCAGTACTGCCTATTTTTTACACATACAATGTCAGGGCAGATTTTTCCTTTCTAGGTGAACAGGCATGCATTGCCATGACATTGTGCATTCCACGGTTACAACAAGATGTGATTGATGTTTTCGTACAAGTTATAGTTACATTTATACACATAAAGCAATCCTAATCCTACAAATAAATAAAGTCCTACCCCAGGACCCAAACGCAGACCTCAGCCATGTGGAGATCTATCATCAGGATCTTGGAATAGCAATATTGACCCAACTCTGATTATCATTTTTTGGCTGATAGGTATGCCAACACCCAGAATGTATTGATATCATATCCCCACTAATGCTCCTC